GGAGGCTGCCCCGCAAGTCCGCAAGGACTTCGTGCAGTTCTGGCGCCTCACCCACGACACATGCCTCAGCAGCGGGCGGAAGCTCAAGCAGGGAGGCGGCGTATGCACGCATCGCAGCAACATCGAGCATTCCGGACCACCTTTGCACCCAGCCAGCTCGCGCAGCCGCGCGTAGCGGTGCTGCGACGCCGGCGGCACGGTGCTGTGCCAAGAGGCGCAGGAAGGAGGCTGCTTCGGTGCTGAAGCGCCCCCCAACCTCGATCCCGACGAGGACGAGCCGCGCACGTCTGGCGCCCTGCAGCTCGGGGTACGTTTGGCGCCGTTTGCGTCTGGCCGCTGGATGAATGTTTTGTATAGCAAACGCACGTTGGCAATCGGACGAAAGTCTCCCAGTAACATGGCCTTCGTCTTCTTGGCGATCATTTTGAACAACGTTTTTTGCCAAGACGCCGGGCAAGAACCTGTTTCCTTCACCTCGTTGAATAGGCGAAGTAGATGCTCCCGCAATTCGTCAGGCGCGTTCTTTAACAACTTTGCGACCAATCCAAATTCATCATTACCTCTGTTTGTTTTCAATGGTTGGATAGCACTGTCCAGCTCCGTCCGTGTCCATTTCGGTTCTGTCTTTGCTACAGGTTCAACGGGACATACCGCATGACCCTTAAACAACGATTCAAGCATGCACGCAGAATTGTCAACAGGAGGCTGTAGCGCACGATTGCTGGCAGAAGTGCGTCCCGAAAAACTTCTCAGAAGTTTCCATGTCGTAGGGCTTTGTAATGCGGCGTCGACCTTGGAGGATTTCCATTGGCGAACTTCCCGTCGATAAAGTTTCCGAAATTGGACGGAAAGTTGCTTGCGAATCAAAGCGTCCTCTCTGTAACGAGAGCGCCTGCAACGCAGCGGAAGGGCGGAACTTACAGCAACGTTGCGTTGACGTGCCATGTCCAGTACGCGCCTTGAGCAATGCTTATTATTCCGTCAGCAGCACGACCACATGTCCAATCATCATCTGCGAGAGGTGGGGAACATACACGATTCATGATGTGAAAGTTATGTCGTAAGATCCAACGTGCGAGCATCCACCCACGAGCATTTCGATCGCCTGAACCATAAGACCCCAAGTGATCAACATCATCATGTGATAACGGTCTTCCCAAACCACCTATGAGCGGAGTTGCCCCCAGCCTCCGGTCATTTTCGAGGAGCAAATTGAGGGTGTCATATAGCTCCTCCACCGCATCGTCGGAATCCCATGTCGTTGGAAAATAAACCGAATATATGTGAGTTTTTTTTGTGTTCCATGTGCAACGTAAGCAACAAACTCGGTCGGAGCATGCATGAAAACACATCTCTTGCACATGTTGTATGCACTGACTGTGAAAGCAAATTCCAACTCCTTTGCTGTTGGCTACGCAGCTGCTCATGAAACCTGTTGCCACGAGGTGTCTGCAAAGTTTCTTCAATATCTCGCCGCCATGTCTCTGTAATGAATCCAATGTAGAATTCAAGTGTATCAAGCTCATGCACAAAGTTATCGAATCGATGTTGTTCACGAACTTTGTAAATTTTTTGTAAACACATGCAAGTCCATGAATCCATGAATTATTGTGGAAACTTCGCGTTGTTGCCAACATGCTTACAAAACAACTGATGTTTTTGATGTTGTACCAACTTGCGACGCATAGCATCCTACTCAAAGTCGGCAACCAGATCTTCAACGGCATTCTGCACTTGCGCGCTGAAAAGGCGTTTCCCCTCAACCCACTGCACAACACCGTCTTCCTCAACATAGGCTGCATGATCCAACTCGAATTGAAACTTTGACGGCCTTGTAGTTCACGATGACCGCTTTGCACGCGCACAAACTTCTGCATTTTTTCGGCGGTGGAAAATTGAGCAAATGCAACGACTGGGTTGTAGATATCACACAGTCCGTCAAAGCCTGTAAGTGTTTCCTTAAGGAAAGCTTCGGCTTCATTTGCTTCCTTCTCCCCGAAACCACTAATAACTGCGATAGGGTGCGATTCGTTCATGTCTGGAGGTGCCTGTTGACTGTTTTCCAAGCGCGCCACCCTTTCCTCTAGCTGAGTACGAGCTGCCCGCTCATCAAGCAGTTCTGAATGCAACTTGGACAAAGAAGATCAAAGAAGCATCAAATCGGCTTGACATGGATCGTTCCAGCTCATGCAACTCCTCCTTCCTCATAGTACATAGTGTTTGCACTGTTGCTGGACTCATCTCCACCTGGGAACTTCTGGGGCTTGCGGCTGCATGATCATCGCCAGCGGTCCAACGGCTTGCGACGGCTTATGTTTGGCTCGATGCTGCACTTCTCGATCAGGGGTACCATCGGGAGCAGCGCGTTTCGGTGGCATGTCAACATCACTGAATCGTAAAAACTCCTTGTCAAAATCAACACTCAAATCTTGCCATTGGGCGCCCAACGCTACGGCATCGCCCATGGTCTCGGCTGCTTTATTCTTCTCATAGCGTTCCCAAGCCTTCGATCCAGGCTTCTTCGGGTTCTCGGCCTTGGATGAAATTTTGGTTTCATTCGTCTTTAGCAGTCTCGTTTGTTCATCGGATAGCGGCATGAATTGCAAAAGATACTCCCGCCGGCAGCAGGTCAGTATCTATGGCGGAGTCCTCCCACTTTACAAATCCAGCTTGAGCCAAAATGGCTACGGTATCGAAATATCGAGTCGAATCGCTCCCTGCAGAGCAGTTGCAGCGGAGGGAACCTCATAATCCCTATCACTGCTGTCTTCAAGTTCCTCCATCATCCAATCGGAGATCTCTGATGCGCCATCCTTGCCGCCGCTACGCGAAGGCAAGCAGCTTCGCCGTCGCGGCCCTCACGCGCTGCGAGACATCTGCGTGCGAAATCGGGCGCGCCGGCGCTGATCACGGGCAGACCGCCCAGTATGCCGCAGGGGCTGTGCGCTCCGCGGATTGCAAGAATCCGCCATGCACGGCAGGCAACAGGGCCATGGACCAGGCGTGGTGCGAGTCTGCCTCATAGAGGCCCCGGACTAGAACCCTATCAGACCCCATGCATGCACTGGTCCCCGAGGCATGGTTTGCGCGTGTGCCAACGGGAGCTTGTGTGACGACATAAACTTCCAGCTAGCGGAAAACCTCTTCCCTCATGGTACGTTCTGCACCCGCCCGCGTGGCCTCCGATGGAGCAGGCGCTCAAAAATTTGTATCTTAACTGGACTTAAAACGACACCTTGAACGATACCAGAACGATATGCTTTGGCTTCTACTACCTACTTCCTACTACCTACTACCTACTACCTACTACCTACTACCTACTACCTACTACCTACTACCTACTACCTACTACCTACTCCTCCTACTACTACTACTACTGCTGCTGCTACTACTACTACTACTACTACTACTACTACTACTACTATTCCGCGAGGTGAGGCTGCACACAACTTATGCAGTACATCACTCGCAGCCATTGCCATGTGTCAAACCGACCCATCCCTTCGTAGACTGCCAGCACCCACCCCTAGCTACTTTACGACGACCACAACGACGACTACTGCTGTACGACCACTGTACAACCATACCTCGACTAATACCACTTCGATGACGACGATGACGACGACGACTACTACGATCACCACAGTCGCTACGACTACTGTTTCTGCTACTGCTACTGTTACTGCTGCCGCTGCTGCTACGGCTAAACCTCATGCTGCCGCTGCTGCAGCTGCAGCTGCGGCTGCGATCGCGTCTGCGACTGCGAGCATGAGCGCGACTGCGACTGCAACCGCGACTGCGACGGCGACTACTTGTACCGCTCCTGCTCCTCCTACTGCCACTGCTACTGCTCCTCCTCGTGTTATTATTACAACTGATACCACCACCTCATGCACCACCACCATTATGGCTGGAAAGTGTGGTGTGCCTGCACTATGGCGTTGGATAACAGGACTCAAGCTTCTCAGCTTGTTAACCGAAAACCATTGTTGCAGATGATGTAAGAACTGCTCAGAGCATCGTTGACTTCCTGTCTACCGATTGACCAGATGCGGTCCTAGCCTCCACTCACTGCCAAGAACTCGTGCAATTGCCGGAGGCTCCGCGGCTGCAAGTGCTGCCACGGACAGAATGATGCGATGCCTCTCCAATGCTGCAGCCACGCGAAATGCGCAGCGCTACGCAAGGCAGTGTTGCGCAAACAATCGTTGCATGTGCCCGCATAAAGGTTCGAACGCCCAAAACGACATGGCCGCAACTGCCGCCTGCACTGCGCTGCGCGGGCTACAGCCATCCCCTGGCCACCGGTCTGTGGCAAGCCCTCGCTGCAGTAGCATCTGTGCCGGCTTGGGACGGTCGTGGCGGATGCGAACTCGTGGCGAAAACAAGTCAACGAATCTGTTCACGGCTGCTTCCTGTCGTTCTCAAATGTTGTCAGGCTGTCGTCGACCACTGTGGTTTCGCCCGTCACTCGTGCGCGCTGTTCGTTTATACTTGGAGCTGTGAGAGCTGTCCGCTGCAAATGCCTGACAACAAGATCGGGGGAGGGGCATGCGGACAACTCGACCAAACCCGCGATGCTGTCAAGGAGAAGCCAGGTTCAAAGAATGGTCCGTCGCGCTTTTCACAATCATCTCCATGTTGTGTACCAAGCAGCGTTCATCGACAGGTCGGTTGAAGTGACCGTCGTGGTGTCCAAAAGCATGTCCATCGCACTCGTCGTGTCTTGCAAAGGCTGCACTTGCCACCGTGTGTCCGGCGCCAGACCGGGGAAGGACCGGGAAGGCTAATTAGTAATTAGCCAAAGCTCAGCTGCAGCAGGGGCAGGTTTGGACTGCAGTCTTCCTAAGAGTTCCAACACGCCAAGTCGGATGCAGGCGTTGCAACAACGCATGTCTGTCGCAACGTATGGCGGGCCGTTGGATTTTGCGGCGCCGTATGAGCCGATAGACCAAGCCGTGAGCCAGACTACGTAAACATGTGACGTTGAGAAGTCCTTTTCAAAGCAGACCTCGAAGTCTGCACTCGCGTACCGAACTTTTTTTCGCCGGACTCACTTCGGCAGCGTGTCTCAGTAAGTCACGTGTCTCACTTCCACCGGTTGTCTTCATGGCATCCGGATCTCGTACCCACAGCCCAGGAACCTGAGAAGGCACGGCGAGCGCTGTTCTACAGAATACTCACACATACACATACCGAGGGAGAGACAGAGAAAGGAAGAAAGGCAACCAGACACACAAACAAATACACAGACAGACGGACGGACGGACGGACGGACGGACGGACGGACGGACGGACGGACGGACGGACGGACGGACGGACGGCGGACCGACGGACGGACGGACAGGCGGACAGACCGGACAGACAGACAGACAGACAGACAGACAGACACAAGGAAACAAAGAGGGCAACGGAGAAGGAGATAGGGATGGGGATGGGGACAGGGATAGGAAAAGGGACATAAGCGAGGAAGGATGGAGGGATGGGGGGACGTAGGGACGCAGGGATGGAGACGCGATGAAGGTATGAAGGGGTGGAGGAGGGAGAGGGAGGGAAAGGGGGACGGTGACGAAGCTGCGGAACACATACCTTTGAAGAAAGACAAATGAAGCCCGGCAAATCAACATCCGACGAATTCTTGATGCAGGGAAAGTTCAATTCGCTGAGCTTCTCACTCCTGCGCCCCCGGGCCTCGTAGAATCACCGTGAACATCGAATCGGCTGAATCCGCTAACATCCGCCCCAAAGGAGAATTGTTTACCCAGGGATATATACACATCATGTGTGCATGTGTATGTGTGTATATATATATATACATGGAGAGAGAGAGAGAGAGCGGGAGATGTGCACATGTAAATATATATATATATATATACATACATACATACATACATACATACATACATACATACATACATACATACATACAAGAATACATACATACATGCATGCATACATACATACATGCAGAGAGAGAGAGACTTGTTTTTTATGTTGATTTACTTATTTTTTATTTGTTTACGCATGTGCAATGATTCATACAAACATTCAAACAAACAAACAAACAAACAAACAAGCATGCATACATACATACATACATGCATACATACATACACTGGTGCATACATACATGGGCGTGTACATCCGTACATACATGCGTGCATGACCGTCCATGATACACGTTATGTATATGTTTGTTAGTCTATTGATCCACGTGCTTAGTGTATCTCTTGGTTTATTCATTCTTTTGTATGTCTTCTGTACCGGTTTATTTGCGTGAATATCTATTTGCTTATTTGTACATGTGTATATGTGTGCATATATATATATATATATGGATATGGATATGAATGTGTGTATATATATATATATGTGTGTGTGTGTATTTATGTATGTACGTATGTATGTATGTATGTATGCATGTATGTGTGTATATCTATATATATATATGCACATGCACATGCACATGCACATGCACATGCATATGCATGTGTGTGTGGGTGTGTATGTATGCATGCATGCATGCATGTATGTATGCTGTTGGTTGGTGTATTGATTCACATCAATCTCCTTTAACAGATGGATAGATGAATAGACAGACAGATAGATAGATGAGTCAGTAGGTAGGTCGGTCGGTCGGTCGGTAGGTAGGTAGGTAGGCAGGCAGGCAGGAGTACGCGCACGAAAGTAGACACATAGATATTTATTTGTATATTATATATATATGTATTATATACATACATACATGCATGCATGCATGCATGCATGCATCACACGTACATACACACACATACATCGATATTGATACATCTCTTTCTCTCTCTCTCTGAGAGATGTGCGTGTCCCTTTTCTCTAACTATCAAACTGTCAGCAGGTAAACCGCTACCAGCATCCGGCCTGGCACCCTGCGGTGTTGGGCCAGGACGACTCCCACATACCTGAGCCAGGTCGTGTCAGGCGTTCGCAAAGAGTCGGGTTGCAGAGGCAGTCACCGCGGGCTGCGCGTCCTGGCATACGTTCACGAAAGCAGCAGTCAGCAGCAGGACTGAGAAGGTGCCCTTGGCCTTCAAGGCCGCTTCAAGCACACCTGGCAGCAGAACTGCTCGCAACAAGCACCGAGCTGCCTATCTCCGCACCCTCGACTCGCTCCGCAACGCTGCGAAACCCGTCAATCAGAATCTCACAGGACCTTTCACGGCTTTGGACCGGCGGAGAAGTCACAAACTGCGGAGCACCCAAGCTGAATGCTGTAATCTCTGGTGCAGCTGCGCTGATGGTGAGCGGCTCGGATCCTGTCCAGCGCTCTTCAGGACTCTTCTCAGAGTGAACAGGTCCGGTCCTCGATGGACATCTTGTCTCGATGCCTGAGCTCCGAAATGCATGGAAAACCCTGGCCATGATATCCTGCTTTCCGGGTGCTGGGCGTCATGAACCAAGAATGCAGCTCATTGGCTACATGGGTGGTGTGCGCAAGCTTTGCCTGCAATAAAGGATCCGAACAGAGCGTCATTCAACGTTGCACGGAAGCCTTCACGGCACCAAGTTCGGGCTGGAACGCCGTGATGAGGTGCCTCGCCTCGCAGACCAGAAGCGAAGCAGAGCGCGAAAGATGCAGAAGGCTGCGGAAGGATGCAGAAGCTTTCCTGCTGAGCGAGAGCAATGGAAGCTGCCGTGGATGGCCGCCGGAGCTGCGCAAGCTCACTGCGCGCGGCCTCCACCTTTGAACCGTAAAACTCGAAGGCAGGAGCACAACAATGTGGCAATCATCTTACCAAGGACCAGTTTCGAGCCTGGCAGCTCAGCGCCGCAATCTGTGCGGCTCGGCGCTGGCTCTCGGCCTACCATTCTTCCGAGAAACTTGAGAAGACACACACTCAGACAAATTCGAAGGCCTCAGCCTCTGTGGCTGTTGTCACAGCTGTGGCGCCCAGAACCTGTCCCAGGCAGGCAGTGGTGCGCCTACAGATCGAATTCCATCTGTGCCTGAAACTGAGAGGGGAGCTGAGGCCAGGCCTGTCGCAACGCAAAGCGGTTGATGTAAATGCATGCATACATAGACACGTGTGAACTTGTTGCATGCATTTATCAATATACACACATACACCAAAAGCCAAAAGCTGTACCTATACCTAGACCTAGGCCTCGACCTATACATACAAATGTGCATATACTTAAAAATGTACCTGTACCTGTATATATATATATATATATGTACATACATACATACCTACCTACC